TCTGTGTGTGTGATCTCTGTGTGTGTTGTCTCGGTGTGTGTTGTCTCGGGAGGGGGAGGAGGAGCCGGGAGGAGCCGGGAGGAGGCGGAGTGAGACTTAGAAAAGAAGAACCCCACACTAAGATGTGGGGAACAACCCAGAAAGATTGTGGCTGAACGGTGGACACAAGTAGTCCAATAAATTCAAGAGGACAAGTAACTTCGGCGCTTTGGTTTGGTATTGTCTTTGAAACTACTAGTTTTTTCTGGCTGCATCAGGAACCTGTCCTGCCCGTTTATAGTGACGCCAGTGTGCTACCCGGGTGCATTATAGATGTGAACATTTGTGTATAAATGTGACGCTAAGTTATTCTATAGTCATTTGTGGGTATACACATCCAGAAACTTAGCATTTTATGGGCAAATGCAGCCCCCGCTGAAATCAAACCTGCAGTTTATATGCTATCAAGAGCGGCGGAGGCATATAATTATAATATATAGATTTTACGGATATTTGCAGTGTTTTCTTACGTTTTTGGAAAAGATTAGGTTTTGTTGGTTTGGGGGTGTACTATATGTATATATATATATGTACGGAATTAAACTGCCCAGCACTTAGAGAGTTCCACATAATGTTTGTATGAGAAGTATCACTCTTGCAGGAGACTTGCTTCCTGTACTTAGGGAATTTCTGACCTTTTGAACATATTTAAACTGTTTGAGAAGTAAGACGTAAGATTGCACAGAACTCTCCTAGAGAATCTAACTTCTTATCTCTGAGAATTTAAGTACATATCTTCACTGTTTCTGGGGCAGCCGGGAATTAAGCGAGTGCTAGCCGGTCGGTCTTGCTTGTTCTGGCAGGCGGGTGCGCGAATATTGAAACAGGCCTTGTCCTTCAAAGCTTGTTAGTGTAGGGACGCTTACGTCTTGTTTTTTGTGTTTGTTTTTCACGTCACTTGTGATGGCATGGCAGCATGCCCATCTCACAATGTTGGATGCTGATTAGCAAAAGGGGTCCTCCCTCCCTCTAACAAATGGAAGGTCTTCTATAATAAACTAGCACCAAAACAAATCTGGGCTCCTGGGAGGATTGCTTTTGTAATTGATTGTAGTATTCATTTTCCTTTCTCAGGTTCTTTGTAATTAGATATTCTCGGCAACCCTTTCATACTATATAGTAAGAGGACAAAGAAGGCTCTCAGGTTCGCTGCGTCTTTGAGCCAGAACTAGAGAAACCTATACTGATCAATACTCTCAGCAAGCCAACCATTGGCTTAGTAGTATTAAGAATTACTATGTTGATTTTTCTTCAGGAAAAACTTTGCACAATTGAGGACCCTTAAAACAAATTCATTATTGAGGATCACGGGCATTGATTAAGGATTTGGTGGCTTTGGGAAGCTGTCAGTTTTGAAGAAGAACTAGGGAAACCTATACTTATCTATACTGTCAGCAGGCCAGCCATTGGCTTAGTCGTATTAAACATTCATATTCCTTTTGTATGCAGGAAAGACCTGTGCACAATTGAAGGCCCTTAAGGCAAATTTACTATTGAGGATCAGGGGCATGTCTGGTCTACTACATTGAAAATTTGTTTAGTTTAGGAGCAGTCTTTACATAAAGGATCGATTAAGGCACTGATGGCTTTGGGAAGCTGTCAGTTTTGAAGAAGAACCGGAGAAACCTATACTTGTCAATAATCTCAGCAGGCCAGTCATTGACTTAGTATTCACAGTCTCCAAAGGATTTGAGTCCCTTTTTTTCAGACAATTTCATTTTCAGATAATAAGATAGTAGGATCTCAAAAACACTTAGCACAATAGAGGACCCTTAAAACAAATATGCTGTCCAGAAATATGTTTGAACATTTTATGGCATTATAGGGAGCCCGATTACTAATCAGGATCCAACATTACTGACTACATATTGAAGGTTTAAAAATCAAGCCTCCTTTTTTTCCATGTCGCTGTGGTTTTATGGTTGGTGTGGCAAATAGATCGACGACAGCGCTTGCCAAACTGTGTCCGACTAATCGTGTATTCTCAGATGAGTTTACTAGGTTCTTTTTTACACATGTGTATTTCTGAGTGTTTCTCGCGCTACCTGTTGGCAGATTGATAAAGTCATCCCTCCGTATGTCTTGTCCAATGCTTCCATGTTTTTCGATTAGTGCCACTTGTATATTAGTGCATCTTATACTCAGTCTTATACTCATATGCTTGTTTCGCAGAAGCCAGCAGGGCTCGTGTAGGCATTGCTTAAATCCCATTTCCCTCTACTTTCCCTTTGTTTCCTGTTTCCTTTCTTATTTATAGAGTTTTGCATTCTGAATAACATGTCCATTCAGATGTCTTGCAAAATCAAAATCATGTATTATTCCAAACTGTATTTTTTGCATGTGCTTGATACTTCTCATTTTTGTTTGTTGCAAGTTCCCTTTGTATTATTATAGTAGTACCTGCACTTGCTTGAGCAAGTCTGTTACCAATTTGTCCTGTTAATTCTTCTTGGGATATATTCTCAAGTGCTTCTCCTGCCATTGTATAACTTGATTATCCTTGATTAATCTTTGTCCTGTTACTTCCATTGCTTCTCTGCCTGCCCGAGTAGCAGCACACCCTGCTATATTCCCTGCTACCGGATCATTGCCCAAAAGACTTCGGACACACTAGGAGCAATCGACTTGTGTAAAAAAGATTCCCCGTTAAATTGACAATGCAGACTTCCCGAATCCCAATCAAGGTCATTTTCAGATTTCATCGTAGAGTTGGTTGACAATATAATGAACATATAGAACTACTTCCGAACTACTTGCCAACTCCAAATGTTGGATCACATAATGTCTACCCCCACCACATGTAAAGCAACATAAGTTGTCTTCTTTGAGCAACTGCATAATTTTAAACTATGTGTTGGCAACAGGAAGTAGATTAATCACCTAGTTTTCCGAACTGGAAGCATATGCGCAGATGTATATGATACAGAGACACACATACCTATAGACACATGTGATACATATAGGGTTGGCGCTTATGCAGGCACACTGCACCCTCTCTTTAGGGGGATTCCAAACCATTTGCGCACATCTGACACCTCCTGAAACATACGTTTGAAACATCCTTATTTCCTAGGTTCCGGGGGTAGCTTATATACCTTAAAATCGTATCATCTAGTGGGGTGGGGTTCCAAGCCGGGGATTCAAAAAAACATGCCGCGCCAAGAGTCTGGCAACGACAATTTGTCATTGCCAGACCCCATGTTGGATTGCCTGATCTGTTGCTTCTTTTACATGTCTTTTAGATAAATCCATCTGGAAGTCCAGTGATCCAATTGCAGGTTTGGCAACGACAAATTGTCGTTGCCAAACTCTCTGAGGCGCAACGTTTTGGCTAGGTTGTCGGTGATTCGGAAAAACCTTTGCACCTAGGAAAATTGAATCAGGGGGTGGGGGGGTGGAATTTTCATTAAGGGGCGGGTGTTCTATATATATATATATACACACATATGTACATAGTTTATTGAACCGCGGAGCGTCACGAAACATGCCAGCTTCTTC